TTTAAAGGTGCATAGATTTTGCCCATAATATACAACAGATTTTGCAAATAAAGGCATTGGGCAAGGGCAATTACAAAATGGTAAAATCAAAACATAATTGATATAACAATGACAAATATGCTACCAATATACAACAAAACGATAAGATACAAATATAAGACAATAACACCCCCATTAACCTCAACACTCCCACAAAACCCAGATTTCAACCCATCCCAGATGTTGAGATATGACCCTATGAGACCTAAACCCTTAATATAGCATCATAAAACAACGGCTTCATGTGAAAAGGATGCCGCATAGAACTTAAAATGTTCAAAAATGCAAGACGGCCAAGGGTCCAGGTTGCCAACATATATATATAGATATAAGAAAAAGATCATGTCAGCTAATGGGTTTATGGAATAGTCTCAGCCCAACGGTCTAGATTGAATTGGGGCTAATCTGAAGGTCACGATGTCACGTAGTATTTGTATTTTAATATTTTTTATACAAATCCAAATCACATAAAATTTGGGGCATCCACTCTTCTCATCAATGTGCACCTGATAAAAATATTAAAAAACTAATTCATAAAAATTAAATGCACCAAAGTTTCAAGTGATTTGGATATGTGTTTGCAAAATCGAACCGGAACAGTTAACCGGAGATGGGGACGAGAGTGGTTAGAACCGGGACAAAACTAACCAAGGCGGTTAACTGGACGAACCGGTCAAGTAGACTTATTTTTTTAAAATGAGTCAAAACCCCCAAAAAAAATAAAAAATAAAAAATAAAATAAAATAAATAGAAAAACCTAAATTAAGTGTATACTATCACATTACATATTTTTATCTTACAAAAAAAAATTGAAGCAACTTTTTATGTAAATTAATATTTGAATACTATGGAGATATGCAAGACAATTTATAATTTGATATTAATACAATTGATGAAGTTACAAAGTCCAACTAACAATGGCTAATAGTAATGCGAGTGGCGAGGGAGATCATGGTACTATTGTGTTTCGCTATCAGGGTTTACAGGGCGAAAAATCTGAATAAGGCCTGGTGGAGTCTGTAATGCCACAATTGTGCCCCCTCGACAATCAAGAACATTTCCCGTGGTACCCCCTTGGCCAAAGTCTCCAAGACTCATTCAGCCTTCGTGGTCTCCCTCACCCTGTTCTGAGTTGTCCTCACCTTGTTTTGTTTTACCTTTACCCATGTCTATATTATGACCCTCAACAGTTTCAATATTGTCATCGTCATGAATAACCAGGTTACGGTGCTGACTACGGCTTCGTCTCTCCCTTGTAAAGTAGCTGCTACGCCTCAATGCATGGACTTCCTCTCAAGTTAATCTCATTGCATCTTCCTGATCTTCGGGCACTGCATCATGTTGCGCCCCTTCACATTCCTGGACGATTGGCCTTACCAGTCGTTTTCCATTGTCCCATCTATCTCCTCGTCATCCTGCGCCTCATCTTCATCCTGTGCATAATCGTAATAGTCAGTATGCATATCCATTTTCATGTGTCCTTCATTGGGTGCTGCAATATTGGCATTATCATCCATATTGGTAATTGCCCCACTAAGGAAAACCTGGTCAAGTAGTGGGGCCCTTTGTGATACCCACTCATCGGTGAGGTCTATCCGGAAGATGCAATCAAGGTTAATCGGCATGTATTATGTGGGGATCCTCCTTATATGTCTCTCTCAAATTTCAATTTGTAATGTATTTCTATGTTTGTTTGTGTCAGCACAATAGTGGATGATACACAGAATTCTAACAAAGCAATTGCAAAAGATTGCAGTTAGAGTTTTGAGTCAAACAGGTGCTTCCTCGAAATGTGAGAGAAACTAGAGTACATTTCAATGGATACACGCCCCGAGGTGGAATAGGTCAAAGACTCAGACGCTGCACAACTAGTCATCATCTTTGTTTCAAATGGGCCATGATTACTCATGTTAACCAACATCATATCATCATGACATTGTTGCACATCCCTTGTTAAATAGTGGAGAATGTGAAAACATTCTTGAGAAAGTTCTTGTGTAGAGGTGGTATTTAGTCACAAGTTCCATTTATTCAAGTGGATGGAAGTTTGCTAAGCTAAGAAGTCAGGAGATCATGGAAACATTCTAGAGAAAGTTCTTGCGCAGAGGTGTTATTTAGTCTCACAAGTTTTATTTATTCAATTAGGAGGAAGCTTGCTGAGCAAAAATGGGAGCTTGGGTTACAAATTGTCAAAGTGATGGAAAAGGCTCTTACTCTCAAGTTGTTCTGACGATATGGAAGCAATCTTGATGCCTTTGGAGAAGGTACTTTAAGGGTAAAATGGGTGCCTGGAGGCTGGGTTATCTTGACGGATATCTGCAACAAACAAGAATCAACCATCTTCAACACTAATGACACTGGATATTGATCCAAAAAGAACATCAGGGATTCTAGTTCCTGAACTTTTGAATCCCATTATATGTTTACTGGGCTTGAGGTGTCACGACCCCGCCCCTTGACCCCTGCCATCCTATACCGGAGGGCGACAAAGTGCAGGATCATAACCAGAGGTTGCGTATGTCACTCAGGTGGGAGTGGCATCAACACGTGTTTAGAGTGCAGAATCAAAGCAAACCACGAGAAATAAGTAAAA